CGAATCGCTTCATAACACGTGACCACAGTAATTTTTATCGATTATAAGACCAGGGGAATCTAGGAAATTCTCGCAATCAAAAGCCTACGCGCCAACTGCAGTTTAAAAGCCAAACACCCGCACTTTGCGCACCTAGAAGAATTACCAACCTAGGTTTTACCCTACGACTCCCTAACGCGACGATTAGACGTCGGTCGAGTAACTACACCCGATTCGCTGTAAATATTCAGTGGGAAAAGTTATAAATCATTCTCTAATGTTATCTTTTGAATCAGTGTTTTATAAAGGAATGAAAATGACTGTGCGCCGATTTTCGAACTCAGTGGAGTACAGAAAATAAGTTGTGTACGATCAGTTGACGGTAATAAACGTGTAAAAAAAGCCTAGAAAGTGGATTTTAGGAAGCGTTAAGTTTGTGGAGATTGAGAATGTCCTACTCACAAGTAAACTTATTGGAATTCATAGAATATAGACGCCACATGCCCTTAAGCTGTTTATGCCTGGTGGCTTGTACTTACTGCTAATGGTAAAATACAAGTTTGAACTAATAGCTGTGCAACTGCTTCGGAAAACTAGAGTACAAGTACTAAATTATATCATATGTAGTGATAGCCAAACGCAATGCTGTGAAGTGTATCAACAATGACGAAGTAGGTGCTTTTTTCTGGAGGTTTATTACGACTGCCGAAACGGAGTTTTACTAACCTTAAATAGAGCACTCATTGAATCACCCTTCTCGATGATGCGTTCATCAATGGTATTTGGAACAGCAATATTCACAATTTTGCTGAGAACGATGCCATTTTTGCAACGATTGTACAACTGTCCATCCACCTCGGTACTAATTGGCAGCAGTCCCAGCTCAGCGCATTCCTTGTCGTCCTTCAGGTGTTTATTTATCCAATTCGTAAATGCTCTCTCCTCAGACGCCGTCACTGTGTGCTTGCCTCCAACTACACCGTCATATTCCTACAATAGAAAATAATATAGAATTAAACACAGCCTATATCGAATCTGCTTTACCTTCTCAAAAAACAGCGAACTTTAAGCTCAAGGCGTGCCACGAGTACAAATAGCACCTTTGTTTGTAGTGATATCTGATTCTTTAGGCGAGATTACTCATGGAGAACCACTTAGACTGCGAAGCATTTGCATAATTTGTATCAGTTAGAAAGTTATTTAACTTCGCAAAATGCAGTGTGATAGGTTAAACTCGAGGAGACCAGCTATCGCCTGCGCAACTTGCACTGATTTTCGCCAAGGTTAGATTGATGGCTGCAAGTCATTGACGCTATACTGCCCCAAATGACTGGCATTCAGTCTGCTCGCTTCCCCTAATGACTAGATTTTTAAGCAGAAGGACATTTTAGTTGATTGGTAGGAAGACACCAGCCTCCACAATAATGTAAAAGAACAGAACTCGATATTCAGCAGGTTGGTACACGCAAATTAAAGTATATTTTCTCAGTTTGAAATCTTTTAATCGAGGTGTCATGAATTTCGGTGTCTTACATCAGTGTGCGCACATTTCAAAACACACTACTTATGACCTATCGATTAAACCTGGCGACAATTGTGCTAAAAGCACGTACGAAAGTTTTAATAGGTGCAAGGATGAAAACCGTTTGCGATGGTTTATTAGCCAGTGTAGTGTATTCTAGGTGTACTTCGATGTTACGTTATTGGAGATAGGTGGCATGTGTGAAATACCGAGGAATCAAAAGAAGTATCCACTAAAGAAGAATGACACTGCAGCATTCTAGGCGACTGCATGCTAACCCATTTTTTTCGTAAATAAATCTTTCTGGTGCTTGCTCAAGCTTCAGAAGAAACTTTGCAATTTTAGCTTGTTATAATGTTTTTGATCCCAGCTGACCTAACCAAATGTCAATGCACATTTTAAAGGGATTTGAGTGAACGGATGATGATTAAAACCCCATGAAATAATATTTTATATTTAAATCCATTTCAAATCTGTCCTGTAAACTTTGCTGCCACGCAAATTATTGGTAAGGAAGACCAGTCTGTTTTAGGAAACTTAATCTAAGGTTGCCTGGTGGCATATGTGTCGCTATTTATTCTGCTCTTTCAGCAAATGTTATCAATCAATTCCGAAAACCAATTATAAGCCCCGTACATATATATTATAAAACGTCAATTCAGCATTTGTTTATATGGATTATGCTTTCATTGTTGAAATTGGCGCTAACTGTAAGAACGAGTCTACTGTTGAAAGAGTATATTCATCGGTAACCTGCATCTTTTTCTTGACAGACGGATGAGCGATCTGTCGGCTGGAGGCCTTTTAAAATAAAATTTTCTGATTATTTATGGTTATAATTTAAGCAAAATAATACTATTCCAAAGAAAAACATCAATATGTTCCTGAGTAAGGGAAAAACGGAAATTAAAAATCAAAATATTTTGTCGCAGCCTAAATTTTAGCCTCCAAAATCTAATTCAAAGTCCTGAAGAGGAGCAAAAAAGGTCACGATTATGTCCTCCAGATACTCCATACACATTTGAACGACTACTCAATTTTTGATACACATACAGTGGCCAACTTAAGTCCTATACAAATAAAATAAAAAGGGTTTCGGGAGTCGTTTGGTAGAGCAGAAGTAATATTGGTTGGTTTTAAAATCCTTGTGAATAAATGTATTATATATTGATTATAAATTTAGGTTATTGTTGCTTAACAAGACAGCATTCAGCTTGCGTCAAAACAATTAAACAATGACATAAGTTTTCGGTTTCTATGACTTATTGAAGTGAAGCCATCGCGTTGATTGGCATATGACCAAATCTCAACTCTTTTCACGAATACCGGAATATTGACTTTTGAGCGAGTATCCTTACAACCATCTGTCAAAATCTTCTCAGCAAAAATAAGTGCATTTATAATATGCCTTATTCTAAAAATTTTGTCTTATTTTGTATAAGACGTTCTAAGTAAAGATGATTCTTATATTTCTTTCATGGAACTTAGTCTTTTTTCATATCATTATTAAAAGAAAAGATGTTTTCTGATTTGCAAGTCTTCCGATTTGTTCTATCAGGTATTTTTAGATTTGACAGATTTCAATTTAAGCCAACGTATTCACGACTATCTACTTGAAGAAACCGTAGGATTAATATTGTAAAGTTATGCAGTGAGTGCGGAACACTTTGTCGGCCTATGACTTAAAAATCAGTAAAACTGCTACTTCATTAAACCTTTAACCATCTCAAAATGCTCATACTTGCAAACCATGCATCTCCAAAAACTTTGTGTCATCTATACCTACATCAAAAAGTGATTGGAGAAGTGCCCAATACTTCTTCAGCAAGTAGTGTAAGTTTAGAAGCTGTTAGAAAATGTTCATTGAAACGATAATACTCTAGCATATAACATTTATCCCGGGCGTTTGTGTTATTTCAGTCAGGATTTTGATCCATGTAAATAGTCCGTTACAAACAAAAACATAAGGTAGAACTGTAGTCATTGCTTTCTGTAAGTTAACTTTTTCAGTATTTCTGATGCTAGACATGCCACTGTCTAAATTACTGAAAACGTTATTAGATTAACCCGGCAATCCTCGGTTACCAGATTACCATTGGTGTTGACCTGCTACATCATAATTAGTTTATCTGCTTCAATTAACTCACTGCAGGAACGCCGCTACGAAATCTTCTGCCAAATGAATGCGTTATAAGTGAACCAAAAACATTTTATTCTAGACTACTGGCTAAACAATTAGACCAAGGAATGTTTTTTATTATTCCCAGAATGCAGAATATTTTGTTTACAGTATAACAAGCGTCTGCAAGGGCTTGCTCCAGTTTTCGATTTGTCTCTTTCTTTTAACGCACACGATTAAGAAAAAAGCCTCAATTTATATAAGCGGAACGGTTTGATACTTCCTTTCTACATTATCTGTTAGTGTATGTATAAGTAAACTGTGATTTTATTCTTTCGCTTACAGAATTGTGTAGAGTAGTATTTTAAAACTGTATTTTTGGTTCCAGAAAAATAGATCGCAGAAGAACAAATTATAACTACCAACTGCTATCTTGTCAGGAAAAAAAATCTCAGAAACGAAACAGAATATTTTTAGTGAGCAAAACATGTTTCGGCTTATGATCAATCAATTTCAAAATGCGCAATACTTTGTGAATTTTTGCTGTACCTTGCTGCAAAAAGTGTAGCTTTCTCCTACTCGATAAATTCTCTTTAATTAACGACTAATTTTTAAATCTCGTGAGAGATAAAGGAAGGAACAATGCATGAAACCGTGAAAGAAAATATTAAGGAAATTCTTTCCCGGTGACAGGTTGGTTTCCATCAATGAAACTTCCATGGCCGAAAGAAAATTAACACTTTATGGAAGGGGGAAGGAGTTTGCAGATTTGAATAATTCAATTGACCCAATTGTAAAATATTCGTAGCCTCGGTGGGATTCGGACGCACAGAGCAGAGGAGACTTTATTACAGCCAACGCTCTACCATTGAGCTACAAAAGCACGCCGAAAGTTTGAATTTAATCATAGTTGGGCTGATTTACCTGCCAAACCTACTGCAAGTATGGAATCCACCATTACGGATTCAGTAAGCTGTCTGCCCCGGACAGGATTTCCTAAGCAATCAACCTAAAATCCACTAGAATGACTAGTAGGCTCACTTAGTTATTAGGAGGGTTTGGCAGATTTGAATCATTCTGTTGACCCACTGAGGCCACGAATATTTTCACAATTGAGTCATTTGAATTAACACTTTAATTTTGGATTGGGGTACGCAGATTGAAGAAACGTTGGAAACGCATGATTGTGCTACTCTACTAGACGACAAACAAACTACTGTATGACCATAATAACGAACAAAATCGATAGGTAAGCATGCAATGCGGTAGCGGCGGCAATCGTGCTAGGGCAGCTCAAATGACGCAAAAGAGGTTGGTAACACGTTGACGTATGTCCGCCGTCATCGCTAAACGAGGCTGGTTGCTTCGCATTGAACTGTACCCTGTTAAACACCCACATGTCCACTCTTACATGCATCCAACCATCACGCCAAACTCAACCCTAAATGTAACATTGTCCATTGGGTTCATTAGGGGGAAGCACGATAGTTCGTTACCAAATCCCCTTTTAATTGCATAGCTTAATTTACAAGAAAGGGAAAGTTTCTTCAGCTAATGAAAACCTAAAGATTAAACTTATTTTAGGGTGGATTTCTTGTCAGGCAGTAAAAGGTTATTGAAGTAACTGTAAGCTTTCGTATTTAATTGGTCTTCCTTTTTCCCAGATAGTTTCATCCTGTTTAAGGTAATCGTTCTATACAAATGCATTTTAAATTATATGAAACCTTGCAACTCACGTAAATTTTTGTATCAATCTACTGAACTAAAGTTTAGCCTTTTCAAATCTAGCATTTTGATCTTCTGACGATTAATTCTATGTAGTTTTATTCAAACTTGAGTATGTTTGCAATAAGAATATTTGAGACAATATAAGTTAATTAACATTGATAATAAAGATGACATATTACTATTTTCCAGATGAGTTGATTGACCTTATAACTTTTCTCGAACTTGCAAGCTGATTACGTGTATCACTCAAGTGATTGTGTTTCGAGCATCATTTTATCAAACCCAATTCTGCAACTATTTCAGCTAATTCAATGTTCCACGAGGTTGGATGCATACCAAACTTTAGAATCCACTTTATCACTCACAAAAACTCCACTTAACTCTCTTATATCTTAGGTATAATTTAGTAAATTAAAAGATGCTAGCAAACCTTTCACTTAATTCACTTTAAGACATATACTGGCTGTCCATTGGTTCGTAAAGTGGCCCATTCTGCCTTATTTTGAATGACAAAAAAGAAGCGCAACGTGCCCAGCAGATACTACAGTGGCACAAACATTAACTTAGGCGACAAATTTCCCACACGCTGGCAAAAGCCTACAATGTTAAGTAGTTTGAAGTTCCATGGTAATTAATGCCACACTAAATAGCGACCCCGAACCATACCTTTACTTCGCTTGCGCCCCTCAATATAGCGTCCTTTAGGATCTGCTTTGAGTCTATCTTCAGCGCCTTGACCTTCAGGTAGAGGCCGTAGAGCTCATCCAGATCACACAGTGCACTCTTCTTCTGATTTCCCTGCAATTCCCGCAGCTCATGGCCAGGAATAGGACATCCAAGTTTCTGCAGGGCATCGCGGATTTCTTCCCGTGGAATGGCTCCCTTAGTCTGAAGGTCTGGGAAAGCGGCATTCAGATCCGCCAGCTGTTCCGCATCGAATTGGTGGCCACCGTTGTTCATACCGGTCTCCATGCTTGTTGTTGTTGTTGTTGTTCCCGAAGGTGCACCCGAACACACAAG